AAAAAAATTTTTCAATTAATTCAAATACTGTACATACAAGTGAGAAATGAATTCTTTTGATGGACCTAGCCTATGTGAACTACTAGGAACTTGAACTCTCTGGGAAGCTCTGGGGTGCCTGCTCAGATCCTTCTGGATAGGTTCCTTAAGCAGACCACCATGTTTTCTATCACAGAAACCTCTACCCCGATCATATCTGACTGATCAGCATGAACGTCTGACAGGAAGGCAATCATCTAAAGCTTAAGCACCTGTCACAGATAGCCAGAACTCCCACAGAGGAGGGAGTTTGTCCATAATGAAAGAAGCATTATTTGTAGTAAAAAGCAAATAGTGAGTCACTGCATATACTGGCTCACCCCAGGTGTAGAGAACCACAGGGACAAATAACCTGATGCTGATGCACTCAGAGCTCAACCAAACCCTGAAAGACTTTCTGGCTTCTGAGGGACATCCTCACCTCCATGTAAGTGACTGTGGGACAAGTAAAATAAATATGTTCCTTTCCTCTAAATTCTAAGAGGGGGGGGGGAGGGTGGCAGCAAGGGAGCTATATTTAAAGTAACATACTAGATTCCTTACAGAGTAATCTGAAAATTTTACCACATTACCCACCATCTTTAAATAGATCCATTTAAAAAGAAAAATGAAGATTTGTAGACTAATGGCAAATAACTAGATAATTTAAATCCTTTCATCTCTGCACACACCAGTAAGAGAACATCCACTGTGTTGTATAAATGGGAACGGTAGGTTATCACTAGAGTATTCAAAATTCCGTAAGACCCCATTATATAAACTGATGATTGAGAAGGTTATAGGAAGGAATAGAAATACTGCCTTATCTTGTTTGGTCTGTGGACATTGAATCCTATCCTTTTCTCATCAAGAGTTTCCCCCATCAACTGAAAATAGGAAAACTTAATGAACACCCCATCAAACACTCAGCTGAAACAAAACTCTAGAACTTGATCTTGAATCAAAGTACTAGAATTCTAAAAATACACGAGAATATCCCATTCACTGAATAACAAAACACATGCTATACAAGTAAAATTAGTATAAAATCTAATTTTAAATGAACATTGAGGGCTAAGGAATCAAAATAAAAATTAATTAAATATAAGGATTAAAAACAGTCTAGTAGGACCAGCAGTTAGCGTAATGGCTATGTCGCTGGACTTTCACGTAGTCAACTGCGGTTCAAGTCCCAGACCCGGTGGCTTAAAACTCACACTGGGCGCGTGTGTGTGCATGCCCAAGATCCCAAGAGGAGAATGGAGGAGAAGGGATTGCAGCATGGCCATCCCCCTTGGGGGGGGGGGATTTCTCACTTTCTGTCTCTCTGTCTCTCTGTCTTTCTGTCTGGCAAGCGCACGCGCCCTATAGCAAAAACCTCTCCAAAAAAAAAAAAAAGAAAGAAAGAAAAAACAGTCTAGTATTTTGTGTTCTTTCCAAGAATTGAAATGTAGTTCCATGGAGCCCTGTCTTGATAACTACTAAGCAGCTGTTCATTTCTCACCCAGACTATCAAGAAAGCCTGAGAGCTAAAGGAAGATGGAATTATAGTAAAATCTTTAAAGTGGAGAGCTCTCATGCAAAATCAAATTTATATCTCATTTAACACAAATAAGAATATCAATCCTAAAATAAGACTATTTCCCAGCCCGTGTTTTTGTTTCTTTTACAAATATTAAAATATCTTTGAAGAAAATACAATTGGGGACCAGCAGTTAGCATAATGGCTATGTCGCTGGACTCCCACGTAGTCGACCGCGGTTCGCATCCCGGACCTGATGGCTTAAAACTCACGCCGGGCAGGTGTGCGTGCGTGCCCAAGATCCAGAGAGGACAATGGAGGAGAAGGGATTGTGGTGTGGCCATCTCCCCTGAGGGGTGATTTCTTGCTTTCTGTCTCTCTGTCTCTCTCTGTCTGGTGAGTGCACGCGCCCTATAGCGAAAACCTCTCCAAAAAAAGAAAATACAATTTAAATATATACAAGGAAAAAAGCAAATTAACTCACAGAGCAGTGTAACTTCCATTCTTCCACTGTCACACCCCCAAAACCAAAGTAAAAAATGAAGCCAAGCACTTCTGGGTCAAGGGGTGTCCTATGCAAAATCTCAGGACTTCTCAGGAATAATTTGAAAGACACTCAACCAAAGAAGACCATGAAGTACTAAAAATACATATAGGTACACACACATCATATTGGCATGTTAGAAAAATAAATGTTTTAAAATTACACTGCCAAAGAAATGAAGATTGCAGGTTAGTTTAAGGGGGGTCATGTGGACATTCTTCCTACACTACCAAACCAATCATTTAACAGGCTCTAGTGTTTGCAGTTTAAATTTTATACCATCTAAGAATACTTCACAAACAAGAGACATTTTCTTTTCTCTAAAAATACACATCCAGTGCTTTTTATTCTATTGTAAAAAAAACCCTGGAAAATAAAAACTGGAAATAGAAGAATAATGTAACTATGCACTTTTTTCCATCTAAAGACTGATAATCCTGAACCAAATAAATGAATTAGAAAAAAAAAAAATTAGTGAAAAAATCAGGGGAATTAGAAAACTGACTGATGGGAACCAGCAGTTAGCGTAATGGCAATGTCGCTGGACTCCCACATAGTCGACCGCGGTTCGCGTCCCGGACCTGGTGGCTTAAAACCCACGCTGGGCGCGTGTGTGTGCGTGCCCAAGATCCCGAGAGGAGAATGGAGGAGAAGGGATTGCGGTGTGACTATCCCCCCTGGGGGGTGATTTCTCGCTTTCTGTCTCTCTGTCTCTCTGTCTGGCGAGCGCACGCACCCTATAGCGAAAAACCTCTCGGAAAAAAAAGAAAAAGAAAACTGACAATTGATAACATTTACTTCTTTAAAGAATTATTTCTTTGACTTTAATATTATTTTAAATTTTGCTATAGGGAACATATGCTCACCAGAGAGAGAGAAGAGAGAAAGTGAAAAAGCAAGCTGCTAGATCCGGGACTCCAACTGCAGTTGTCCATGTGGGAGTCCAGTACCTTAACCATCAAACCACCTGCTGGCACCTTAATATTTAAGAAATCATTGTTAATATATATTCCTTAGGCTTGATGATGACATTGTGGCTGCTTATATTGTATCTGTGGGTTTTGTTTTGCTCTTTCAACTGTTTATCTTTCCTATACACCTGATGGATTTACAGATGAAAGAAAGGCCCCTGGGATTTGCTTTAAAACATCAACCAAGGGGTATAACAAGATTGGTCATGTGCTAACAATGGTTGAAGCTGGATAACGGGTATATAAACTTTATTATACTAATTTCTCTATTTTGGTGTATAGTTGAAAACCTCTCAGCAAGGAATAAAAAAGTATCCTATACATCAAAAAATACCGTCCGAAGTACAAAACTTTGTTTCCCTAAACCAAAAACTCTGCTTAGTTTTTCTTAATACATTTGGTTTGGTTAACAATAAATTCTTCAATGATCTTTCTCCAATAGACCTAAAACTGAAATACAAGACCCTCCTTGTCCTTTCATTCCACCCATGAGTCAAATAAGTGCCAGATGTGGAAACAATCCAGCATCCCACCTTGTAATTAGTACCTTATTTTAACTTCAAAAACACATACCTGTTTTGAGTCAGAATAATGAACTAACGCTCGTTTTGTTAATTTACCTCTGTCGCCCCCCCTGGTATTTAAACTTAAGTTCGGTAGATAGTGTACAATGGTTAAAAGTAACAGATGTTCGCTCCCAGGAAGTAAACTCTTTCAATGAAAAGGGGCCAAGAGCTCGAATTTGACACAGAAATGTTCCTAAAATCTCCGGGTAAGTGAGTCACACATAACCCTTCCACTCCCTCCCCCCAAAAGTCTTTGTAAGTGGTTAGAAAGGGGCTGCCCTGGTTGGTTTGTTTCATCCCCTCCTCCGTTCTTAGGGGAGGTGCTAGAGAGCAAAGAAATGACCAAAAGACAAGCCGGAAGAAGGGAAGTGAAAAGCATGGAGTCTGGACAATCGGTCTCTAAATCATTGAGACCCGTATCCAAATTAGATTAACTTGAGTGGGAACGAGTCGCTAAACACCTCCCGGTCGCGCCAACGTCCCCGAAGCGGCTCAGAGAGTAGAAAAAGCTGGTGGCAGGTACATCACACGCGAGCTCGCTCCTCTCTCCGCAAGTACTCACAGGTACAAAGGCGTAAAAGAACTCTTTCCGACTCTCGCCAACTGAAGCGCCCAAGAAACTACTCCTACCCGCCCGACCCGGCGAGGCCGCCCCAACCCCGCAGCGGCGGGAACCCTCGGGCGGCTGCGCCGCTGCTCGGGTCAGGAGCCCCTCTTTTTCCAGGCCAGGCCAGGGGGGCGGTGGAACTAAGAATCAGCTGGGAGGACCCGCCCGCCGCTGAGGCCGTCCGCGCTAGCCTGGCCCTGGGGTCTCGGCCCCGCGCCGCCCACGCTGGGCCCCGCCCGGCGCCCCGAGAAGCTCGTCGCGAGCCTCGATCCCCGGCCAAGCCCGAGCCCAGCGAGACCCACGCGCCACAAGGAGCCGCGGCCGCTGCCGCCGTACGGACCCAGCCACTGGCTACCTGTCTTCGCTCTTGTTTTTCTGTTTCTTCCCCATCGCTTGTCAGCGGCGCTCGTGGCCTCAGCCCCTCTGTTCAGTCTCTCACAGACCCACTGTCCCCCAGCCTACTTGGGTCTCTGCTCCGCTACGTTCCCCTCGCGCTGCCGCCTCTCGCACCCGGCTCTCCACAGACCCGCGCACTGGGACAGGGCACATATGGTGTGAACTCGCAGTGCGCACGCGCATCGCCCCGCCGCCTCGGCGTGCGCACGCAGGGCGCGGCTCATCGAGAGCTGCGCTTCGGGTAGAGCGTCTCCAGTGGACCCACCGGCCAGGCAGGAGCCCGAGCGACCCCTGCCCGCCAGCGGCCGGCGCGCACCGACGCTCTTTTTTTTGACGCTCTTGCGTTTTCCAGGTTCTAGAACCCGGAGGTGGACAATGAAGCAGCCTGTTTGCCACGTTGGCTCTCTCTCCGAGGGACCACGCAGGCTTGTGGGATTAGCATTCGGTTCAGAAGTGGACCTTGAGCTTTCCTGATAAGTTTGTATCCTTGGCGGGACAAAGCTCAATAAAGGACCACCAGGAACTGATGATCCTCTGGGTGCCCCAAGGACATGAATCCAGAACACACCTGCGACCTCTCAGTAAACGTCCGTGGATTGTGAAGAGTGTTCAGTCACTATAGAAAACGTCCAAGGATGTAACAATCAGCTCTCTTAATGTTTATTTTCAAAGCGAGAGCAAGTTGTAAAAATTCGTATTTAGGGAAGTCACAAGAGAATCTACTGGGTGGTAAAAGCGTTCTATATCTGGACGGTAGTATTATAGGTGTTAACTGTACACATTTACCCGCTGAATGTTATACCTCAACTTTAGAAAAAGGGAAAATGTTCAATAAATAGTAAGAATGGAAACGAAGTTAGAGTGTCACTCCTGAACAAGATCGTAGCTTTCTGATGTAACATGAGCGCCAAGGTACAACGCCTTAGTCGGACAACGCCAGCTGTGCGCTAAGAAACTACAACTCCCAGCATACGTTGCTCCCTACGCCGCTCTGCAGTACACCCAGAGGGAGGGAAAGGCGGAAACCACAAGTTCCGGTCTGCAAGGGAAAAGGCGCAGGCGCAGAAGCGCTCGCCGCACGCCGGGCCGCCCCTTCCTCAGGCCTCGCTGATTGTATCGCGTGAGTTCCTCAGCCAATGAGGAGGCGGAAGTGACAGTCGTTTCGCATCCGCCAGCAGCTGCTGAGAGGCTGAAGCCAGAGTGCACCATTCTTTTGGAGTTGCTGTTCTACTCATCGGGCATCAGCGAGAGCACAGGTGAGGCAGAGGTGATATGGAAAAAAGCTGACCACCACGCTTCGGTGCTCATGGACCCTGTCGTTCAACGGTGCAGGGGGAAGGGCACGGCCCAGCGGCCGTTTTCTGTGCAGCGTGGAGGCCTTAGGCGCATGCGCCCCAGGAGGCGTTGAAGTCGGGGCCGCCGGAATTGCCCTCATCCGCCCCGGCGGCCCAGGGAGTGGCAAGCGTTCTATTAGGGAGATACCTAGGGTACAGTTTTAAGACGAAGGCCCCTAGATTGTTTGGGCGGGTGCCTGTAGGGGACACAGGGAAATGGTTAGTTAATTTGAGGACTCTTGATGTCCCTTCCAGCCTTTCCAGTTGAACTGTAGGAAAAAATCATGTCGCGGTTTGAATAATGAAAAGTTACCGGGACCGCGGCCACCTGCACCCAGTACAGCTTTTGTTCATCGCTCTTGCTCTTTAATGTATTTCTAAATTAAATTTGGGGTTCTCCTATAAAACTGCAGAAATAAGCAACCACTGTCGCCCTACTAAGACCTACTAAGAACAGGTTCTGACACGCCGGTCAGTGTTTGTTCTTCAACTCCCACACACACCCACGCAAGGTTACATCTAACAATTTTCTTGGGAGGTACGGAGTGTGAAAATCTTACTAAATATATTTTAAAGACAGCTCCTTTTCAATTTTATAGCATTTATGAGTTTACGGGGTTTTTTTCTTTAAACTCAAATGCTTTTGAAACTGATCATTTCTACAGAAACTAGGCACATGAGCATTTAAGGTTGAACAAATATTTATTGAGTTCTTACTGTGTTCTAAGCGCTACTGGTTCTGGGGATACAAAAATGAAATCAAGTGTGCTTTTCAACTTTTTTCGGTGATGAAAAGAGGAACCAGATCAGAAGGTCACAGGAAGAATTTTTCTCTTTAATTCGGCATTTAAAGTGTGCCTGTGTGGGCCAGGTATTAAAGTGATATTGAGTGGTAATTGCAAATGCAACATAGTTTATTGAGACTGAACAGTGTCCTGGTTTGGTCAACAAATTTTAAATTGTATTTCTGTGGTAATAATCCAGGGATGCACCTAAAATCATCCTCTGATTATTACTAATAATCATTTCGTTTAAAATACATAATTGAGGGGACCAGCAGGTAGCATGATGGTTAAGGTGCTAGACACTCTTCACATGGTCAACCATGGTTCAAATCCTGGACCTGGTGACTTGCTTTCTCATTTTCTCTCTCTCTGTTTTTCTGTGTTTCTCTCTGGTCAAATTAAAAAAAAATGAATAAATTAAATTAACTTTAAAAAAAAATACATCATTGAAATACAACTTTTTTTTTGAAGAAGTTTTTGCTATAGGGTGCATTCGCTCACCAGAAAGACAAGACAGAGAAAGCAAGAAAATTCCCACCCTCACCTCCATGTCTGTGCCGCAATCCCTTCTCCTCCATTCTCCTCTCCAGATCTTGGGCACACACACTCATGCACCCAGCGTGAGTTTAAGCCACCAGGTCCAGGATTTGAAATGCAGTCAACTACATCAGAGTTCAGCAACATAGCCATTACGCCAACTGTTGGTCCTGAGATAGAACTTTCTAATCTGAATATTTTTTAAAGTTTATTTTATTTATTTCTTCATAAGTGAGAGAAACAGAGACAAAAATAGCAATAGGGTCTATAGTCCAAGATCCATCCCCAGCCTCGACCAGCCCCAGATCATGGACGCAGTCAAGGAGGTCTCCAGCTGTGCATGGGGAACCTTCCATATCAGTCACCCTCTCACTCCTTCACCACCCTCTCAGCCCTGCCACCTATGACACATATTAAGCTGAGAACCTTCTTGGGCTCCCCTGGGTCTCCCCACATCTTCACATCTCCCTTTGTTCTTCCAGGGTCCCCATTGGAGAGCAGAGGTTGACAGATACATTCCCATGCTTGCTCCTGGGCTGGCCCACCTGTCTCCCAGGCTTTTCAATAAGGCGTGCCCTGGCCATGACCTCACTAAGGATGTAGAGGTGGCTTAGTGACATATCTGAGCTTCCAGCAACAGGTTGACATGAGCCCATGCAAAGTTATATTTCCATTCTGTGGTTGAGGAAAACAGCTGGTCTGCAGGACACAGGAGACCAGCAGCTGGGAAAACTTTTAATTAGAAACAAGATAAACTTAGGACCAGCAGATGGCTTAATGAGTTCATTGCTAGACTCCCATTAGTTGACCATAGTTTAAGTCCTGGACCTGGCGGCTTAAAACTCACTCCAGACGCGTATGCATGTGTGCCCAGAATTCTGAGAGAATGTAAAAGAAGGGATTATGGCGTGGCCATCTTCCCCTGGGGGGTGATTGCTCGCTTTTTGTCTCTGTCTCCCCAGTGAGCACATGCGCCCTATAGCAAAAATCTCTCAAAAAAACACAAGATAAACTATTACTTACAGTCTTCAAATATTATTGCACTTGAACTTTTATAATTTGATGAAGCATTCATTAAATAATCTGCAGACTAGTTTAACAAATAACACTTTTAAGCAGACATGACTATACTTTAAAAGAAAAAAGTTTTTTTTCCTCACCACCCACCCTCGTCAACCACTTCCCTTCCCCCGAATTAGTTCTAAAAAATTAGTTCTAAAAAATTAGTTCTATTAACACTGAGCGTCTGTATATTGAAACCAAGGTCAATTTTTGTGGTCTCTTAGATCTCGTTATGATTATAAACACTAGACCCCAATTTTTACGTAAATTGTAATGAGATGTCTTAGGAGTTAAAAGAAATGAAACACTTTTGGACAGTTTGCTCAACTCTGCTGAAGCAGTTTGATGTGTGTGTCGTTACACCTTACTATCATTCAGAGTTGTTTCTTCTTCACTTTTCTTTTGGCAGAGAACACTCTCAGTAGAAGGGAACTTCAAAAGGTTCATGAATAATGGAATTGAAGTATATGTTTATGGGACCAGCAGGTGACGTAGTGGTTAAGTCACTGGACTCCCACATGGCTCCCCACAGTTTGAGTCCTGTACCTAGAGGCTTGAGACTCACACTGGGCATGAACATAAAGGCACCCAAGATCCCGAGAGAATGGAGGAAAGGAGATACAGTGTGGCCAACACCCTGTGGGAGGTGATTTCTCACTTTCCTTCTCTGTATCTCTCTCCAGTGAGCACACTTGCCCTATGGCAAAAAAAAAAAAAAAAAGCTTTAAAAAAAAAGTATGTTTATTTTATGGCAAATGTGAAATCTGTCCGCAGGTGGTGGTTTGGTTCCCCCTAACATTATGTGCATTATCCATGAACTTTTTGAAGCCCGCATATTTATATTTATATAACTCCACAATTCATTTCTCTGTGGTCTGGTGATGATCTTAAAAGCTTGTCATTCCTTTTAGTGTAGTAAAACAGAAACTTGATCAGAAACAACTAAAATTTGCTCTACGTGGGGCCAGAGGTGGCATGGTGGTTAAGATGATGAATACCACATGGCCAACCACAGTTTGAGTCCTGGACCTGGCACCTTGAGAATCGCGCCAGGTACCTGTATGCGCTTGCCCACAATAATCCCAGGAGGAGGATTGTAGCATGGCAGTTCTTCCTGGTGGGGGGAGGTGTGGTTTTTTATTTTTCTTCCTCCCCACCTAGCATACGTACCCTATAACAAACTAAATATAAAAATTCTTTTTTTTTTTTATTTTTGAGAGGTTTTTCGCTATAGGGCACGTGCGCTCGCCAGACAGACAGAGAGAGACATAGAGACAGAAAGCGAGAAATCACCCCCCAGGGGGGATGGTCACGCTGCAATCCCTTCTCCTCCATTCTCCTCTTGGGATCTTGGGCACGCACGCACAGGCGCCCAGCGTGAGTTTTAAGCCACCGGGTCCAGGACGCAAACCGCGGTTGACTACAAGGGAGTCCAGCGACATAGCCATTACACTAACTGCTCGTTCCCAATATAAAAATTCTTAAACCTAACATCAAGTGCATAGGTGTCAGCAGAGTCCTCTGAGTACACATTTTATACTTACTGGAATTCTTTTAAACGGAGAGAAAGTTCTGATTAATGTTTGCTTCTTCCCAGCTGAACTATCCCACTTAGAAGATGGAAGCTGATACATCTGTTGACATGTTTTCAAAAGTCCTAGAGAATCAGTTGCTTCAGACTACCAAACTAGTAGAAGAACATTTGGATGCCGAAATACAGAAACTGGATCAGATGGATGAGGACGAATTGGAACGCCTCAAAGAAAAGAGACTCGAGGCACTAAGGAAAGCTCAGCAACAGAAACAAGTAACCTCCCTGCCCTGCTTTCTGAAATCGCTGTAACAGTGTGCTCCTCACAGCTTGCGTATACCGTGCTGTGCTAGTTACGTTTGAGCGCCCGTTTTTTTTTTGTTTTTTTTTTTTTTAATTCAAAGTACCTATCACTTAAATTTTGCCCAAGGGGAGAAGAATTTGTTTTAAACATTCGTTCAAAATTACCCCAGTCAGTCAGGTAAAAGAAAGATCTGCCCAAGATTGTTTTCTGAGTCTGGATTTGTGTGGTTGAGAAGAGCGTGAACTGGCAAGAGCACTGGGAGAGCTGGAGACTCGATTGTTTCCATTTCAGGCAGGAGGAAGCGTAACATGATTTAGCTAATTGATGGCCTATGAGACAAAGAAGAGTTATTAAGTCCATCTACTGGGTCATCAGAAAAGTCATGACACATTTTTGCATTGATAAATATGTCACGACTTTGCTGGCAACCCAGTATGTCAGCATAAATAAATAAATAATTTCAGGCGTTTCCATTTCACTGTTTAATTACATGGCCTTTTGCTGGGTTGCAAAAAAAGGTAGCCACAGCTCTCTCCTTGTTGGCCCCTTAGAGGGTGAGTATGAAGAAACTCATATGCTAATCAAAACGAATTGAATTAAATTTTGCATATTTAATTTGATTAAAAACTGTTTTTGTTGGGACCAGCAGTTAGCATAATGGCTGTGTTGCTGAACTCCCCTATAGCTGACCGTGGTTCGGGTTCCGGACCTGGTGGCTTAAACTCACGCCGGGCACATGTGCGTGCGTGCCCAAGATCCCGAGAGAATGGAGGTAAAGGGATCCCGAGAGGAGAATGGAGGAGAAGGGATTGCGGCGTGGCCATCCTCCCTGGAGGGTGATGTCTCACTTTCTGTCTGTCTGTCTCTGTCTTTCTGGCGAGCACACACACCCTATAGCAAAAACCTCTCCAAAAAAAACTTTTTGTTGGTTTCAGTTACATGGAATTATTTTACTACCAACCCCAGTTCTCTTTGTGACTAAAACATGAACTTTAACTTTTCTTTAGAAAATATTTTGTTTGTGCCACTATAGTACTTCAATATGTTTATGCCATTTTGAAGAATTACCGCACAAAGGAAAGATTCTTTTATGAGTGAGTTTATATTGAATCTTAAGTAAGGTAGTTTTTTAGCCTATAAATACACCTCATTTTAGAAAATAAGCTACTTAATATAATGCTAATAACTAGTACATGGAGGACAGATTACTGGAACTTAAGGATTTAAGGTAATACATGTTTAGTTTTTCCACAAGCTCATTTCTCATGACACTACTAATTGCCAATGTACAACAAAAAATATCTGGGATATTTATGTAAAAAGTATATGACCCTACCTAATTTACAGTAAGAGAGACAAATCATGTCTTAAAGGAAATTTGTAGTTGAAAACAATAGGCTGAACACTGTTTATAATTAAAAACCAATTTTTAATTGTCAAGCAGGCTGGCTTTATTATTAATGCATCAATCAGTTTCAAATGAATTTTTCCTGGAGTTAGCTTAGTCTTATTTTAGAAATTTAATTGCATTTTAATAAATCCTTTTTATTGAAATGTTTTCTGTGAAAATCGGCCGGAAACTTTAGTGGGTTATATAGATAACGTTTTTGAAAGAAGGGCCAGCAGGTGGCATAATGGTTACGTCACTGAACTCCCACATGGGCAACCATGGTTTGAGTCCCAGACCCAGAGTCTTGAAATTCGTGCTTAGCACGTGTGATTGGCTTGATTTCATTCAGCAGATATCTGGAGCACATGCACTGTGAACACAGCTGTTTTGGGAGCATAGGAGTGTGGTGAGTGTCTTTGGAGAGGTGCTGCACATTGGCGAAGGTTCAGAGTAGGCACGCCCTCCCTCAAAGAAAGCTGGACAGGTTCAGGTCTCGAGCATCTTGGTTAAACATACGAGAATAGTTAAAAATAAGTTCATTGAGGAATTGTCATTGACATTCATTGAGGAATTGTGTCTGAGAGTATATAAATAGGGCATAGAAACTTCCCGTAAGGAGAAGCTTCCAGACCTTCTCAGAGTGTCAGCCTGATGGAAGCTGATGTGAAATGGACATCAAAACTGAGAACTTCCTGGGCCGTGTTAGCCAAAGTCCACGGAAGGAAGGGAGATGGCACTCCTGGCCCTTCTGGTTGGACCATTTCTAGAGGGCTGAATTCAGACCTCTGCCATATTCCTAAGGACATGGGCGAATCAGAGTTTGTTCAAGGAGGACTTCTGGGAACAGGAAGTAGCCTAGATAGCTTTTCGCATGAGAAAAACTGGAACTGTTCAGTGGGGTGAAAGGGAGATTAGGCAAGATGTGCTATTTGAAGGGCTGACACATGAAACAGAGTAAACTTTTCCATGTCATCTTGGTCCAGGCTGGGGCCCACATACTGAAATTACAGATATATCGTAGTCCTGGGCAAGAGAACTGCAATAAAAATTAGTGTACCTATAGATGCTTTGTCACCACATGTGCCAGATGCTTTTTTAGGTGTTTTTGCATAGATTGTCTTTTTCTTTTCACTGCAACTCAATAAGATAGGTGCTTTATCATTGTTGTGTCACAGATGAAGCTGAGGCTCAGAAACGTTATTAGAATCCATAGCTTAGTAAGTGGTAGAACAAGCACTCAAGCCTATGCCTTCTGTCTACAAGTCCAGTGCTCCTTTGTAGTAGAACCAGCTGTCTTTAAAAAGGAAATGCAGAAGCAGTTTAGATAATAAGCTTCCTGACAGAAAAGATTTAAAAAAAAAAAAGCTAAAAAGTCTTTAAGGGTTGGTTGATAAGGGAACACTACATTGGTTTGGGAAACTGGATTAGATACGAGGTCCTTGTAGATTCCAAACACCATATAAGTAGATGATTCTTTTCTTCCAAGGGACCGTCCACTGGTGACCATTATAAAAGAGTTACTTGCCTCTGAGATAGTCATCAAAAGCAGGCAAGGCTCCCAAACTTCAACCTCTCCCCATGACTGACTAGCTTTTTCTCATGAGCATTTTTCCTTTTTTTTTGGAGAGGTTTTTGCTATAGGGCATGTGCACTCATCAGAAAGACAGAAACAGAGACAGAAAGCGAGAAATCACCCCCCAGGGGGAATGGCCATGCCACAATCCCTTCTCCTTCATTCTCCTCTCAGGATCTTGGGAACACATGCGCCCAGCGTGTGTTTAAGCCACCAGGTCTGGGACTCGAACCACGTTCAACTACATAGGAGTCCAGCAACATAGCCATTGCACTAACTACTGGTCCTTCGTGAGCATTATTTTTAAAAGCTTTGTACTAACTTGGATCTGGGGTTGTTGGTTTTTTATTTTTTTTGTTATTGATTGCTTGGTTGGTTGTTATTTCACATTTTAGTTTTTGCTATAGGAAATGTGAGCTCGCTAGAGAGGGGTGAATAGAAATTATCCCCCAGTGGGGATGGCCATGCAACATTCCCTCCTCCTCCAATCTCCTATCAGGGCTTTGGGAATACATACGCACCCACAGTGATTTTCAAGCTACCAGGTCTGAGACGTGAGCTGCACTGTCAGCCATGTGGGACCCAGCCACCTTAACCTCCACACCACCTGCTGGCCTCAGTTCTGGCTTTAGTAGTTGAAGAATATGGGACCAGCAGATGGGGTAATGGTTACGTACGTCGCTGAACTCCCACGTAGTCAACCACAGTTCGAGTCCTGGACTCGGCAGCTTAAAAGCCGGTGTGTGTGTACGCATGCCCAAGATCCTGAGAAGAGAGTGGACAAGGGATTGCGGCATGGCCATCCTCCCTAGGGGATGATTTCCTTTCTCTCTCTGTCTTCCTGTTTCTTTCTCTATCTCTATCTCTAAAGAGTATACACATCCTATAGCAAAAACCTTAAAAAAAAAATCAGGTGGTACTGAAAGATATTTTACATGTATAATATTTTACTTCTCTCCAAATCAGGAATGGCTTTCTAAAGGACATGGTGAATACAGAGAAATCCCTAGTGAGAGAGACTTTTTTCAAGAAGTCAAGGAGAGTAAAAAAGTGGTTTGTCATTTCTACAGAGATTCCACATTCAGGTAACTTGTTTCCATCTGTGATTTAAAAAAAAAAAAAAAAAATTGGTGACATGTTTTGATAGAGAAACACTGACTTAATAGAGAAATTTAGAAAACTATAAGGAATAACCTTGTAATTTGTTTCACTGCACTCTGGGATATTCTTTAATGTTCTAGTCAGTTCGATCAAGTTAAGCAATTGGAGCAATTTTAAAGGGTAACTTAACAACCAGTAACGAGAACTAGCAGTTGGTGTAATGGCTATATCGCTGGACTCCCATGTAGTTGATCATGGTTCAAGTCCTGGATCTGGTGGCTTAAACTCACACTGGGCGTGTATGCATGCATGCCCAAGATCCCAAGAGGAGAATGGAGGAAGAGGGATTGTGGTGTGGCCATCCCCTCTGGGGGGGTGATTTCTCGCTTTCTGTCTGTCTTTCTGGCGAGTGTACACCCTATAGCAAAAACCTCTCAAAAAACAACAACAAAAAATAACCACCAGTAATGTATAAAAGTATAAATGAGTATTGTTGAAAATCAACAGTATTCCCATATAAATGGTTTATATTTTCTGATTGAACTTATATTGTTGTTCCTCAGTTTAAAAACATCTTAGAAATACACACTTAAAATTCTTACCAGTGCCCAGTAATTGTTTCAGCTTTCATTCCCCTGCTATTATGATTTATGATGCTAGAGTAGAGATAGTGAGCCGGCAACCTTCCAAGTCACTGTGCATCCAGTCACTCCCCGCTGGCAGCTCCGATGAGGACACGGTGGATTGATCCATCATTTCATCAAGCACAGTTGGGACTGCCAGGCTTGGCTGGAAGGAGAAGCAGTTTCTCTTAGACCAACCCAAGTCTACAGGAACCCTTAAGCTAGGATTAGAATTCAAGGTTTAGAAGGGACTAAGCAACCCAGTATCACTTAACTACTAAATGATGAATGAGGGGTTTGAACCCACTTTCTAAGCCTAATGCCATTTAACAACACCATTACTACTGCTTTTGCCTTCTTTGTTTCTTTGTTTCTTTGTTTCTTTTTTTTTTTTTTTTTTTTGCCATAGGGAACTTGAGCTTGTCAGAGAGAGGAGAGAGAGGGAAAGTGAGAAATAATCCCTAGAGGGGTTGGCCATGCCACAATCCCTTCTCCCTTCTCCTCTAAGGATTTTAGACACGCACACACATGATTTTCAAGTTGCCAGGTTCAGGATTCAAATCATGGGTGACCATGTGGGAGTCCAGCACCCTAGCCACCATGTCAGCTGCCAGCCCTATGCTTTTGCATTTTTAAAAGTGTATTAACGGGACCAGCAGTTAGTGTAATGGCTATGTCGCCGAACTCCCGTGTAGTTGACTGCAGTTCGAATACCGGACTCAGTGGCTTAAATCACGCCGGGCGCGTGTGCGTGCATGCCCAAGATCTCAGAGGAGAATGGAGGAGAAGGGATTGTGGTGTGGCCATCCCCCCAGGGGGTAATTTCTCTCTTTCTCTCTCTGTCCTTCTGGCGAGCACACACACCCTATAGCACAAACCTCTTTTAAAAAAGAAATGTATTAACTGTGGGGCTGGCAGGTGGTGTGGCTGAGGTGCAGAACTCCCACATAGCCGACCGTGGTTCAGGTACCAGACCTGACAGCTCGCTTTCTCACTTTCCTTCTCTCTCTCTCTCTCTCTGTCTGTCTGGTCAAATTAAAAATAACAATAATAATAAAATTAAATAAATAATTTTTTTTAAGATGGATTAACTGGCAGAGAGAGAGAAAGCACCCTCCAGAGGAGCATGGACACACTGTGATCCTTTCTCCTCCATTTCTCCATCCCTTCTGGATTGGGGCATGTAGACAATGAACCCAGCGTGTTTTTCAACTGCGAGCGCAAAGATTTGAACTGTGCTCAACTGTGGGACCCAACTCCTTGACTGCTGTGAATGGAGCGAGCCCTTTAGGAGCTTATGCTGGCCCCAAACCTAGATCAGGAAAAAGTATGCTAAGAGCACAAAAAGCTTACTGCTAAAAAACAGCTATTAAACATTTACTGTGCTAGTCATCTAAAGCACTAGTATTCAAACTTGGACCTAAGAATCAGCTGTATGTTTTCCAACTTCACTTCCAGAGAATTTTGATTCCTCTATATGCTTAAAGGGTTTCATTGTAGGGACCAGCAGATGGCGTAGTGGTTACGTTGCTGGACTCCCACATGGCTGACAAGGATTCAGGTCTCAGACAAAATCACGCTGGGTGCGTGTGAGTGTGAGCCCAAGATCCCAGAAGGGGAATGGGAGAAGAAGTTGCAGTGTGGCCATCCTCCCGGGGGATGATTTCTCACTTCCCTCTCACTGTGTGTGTATCTTTCTCACTCTCTCTCTCTCTCTCCAGTGAGCGCACACACCCTAAGGCAAAAACCTCTCCAAAAAAGAAAAAAAGAAATTTTGTTACGAATACCTGGGGTTAAGAACCACTGGTCTGGAGCCAGCAGATGGCATGAAGGTTAGGGCCGCTAGATACCACATGCCGACTTGACAGTTCCAGTCCTGAACCTAGCAGCTTAAAAATCACGCTAGGCCTATATGTGTGTATTCTCAAAGTTCTGAGAGAACAGAGAAGAGATTGCAGCACGGCCATCTCCACAGGGAAATGACTTCTCACTTTCTCTCTCTCTACCTCCCTCTCTCCCTCTCTCCTTCTCTAGGGGAGGAGAATATGCCCTAAAGCAAACTTTAAAAAAAAAAAAAAATCAAGTCTGTTTCAGAAATAATAGAAGATTGGTCCATGTAAAACAGATTTTTTGGGGACCCATACATGGTATAATGGTTACATCACTGGACTCCCATGTAGTGTTTGAGTCCTGGGCGCATGTGCATGTGTGCCCAAAATCCTGAGAGAAGACTGGAGGAGAAGGGATTATGGTGTGGCCTTCCCCCCTAGGGGGTGATTTCTCACTTTCTGTCTCTCCAGTGAGTGCACACGCCCTATAGCAAAAATCTCTTAAAAAATAAAATAGATTTTTGGGACCAGCAGTTGGCGTAATGGCTATGTCGCTGGACTCCCATGTAGTCAACCGCGGTTCGCGTCCCAGACCCAGTGGCTTAAAACTCACACCGGGTGTGTGTGCGTGCGTGCCCAAGATCCTGAGAGGTGAATGGAGGAAAAGGGATTGCGGCGTGGCCATCTCCCCTGGGGGGTGATTTCTCACTTTCTGTCTCTCTGTCTCTCTCTGTCTGGCGAGCACACGCGCCCTATCGCAAAAACCTCTCCAAAAAAAAATAATAAAATAGATTTTTAATTTAAAGAAAATGTCACTTTGAGGCCGGCAGATAGTGTGGTAGTTAAGGGCGCTGGACCTTAACCAGGACTGACCGCAGTTTGAGTCTCATACCTGGAGGCTTGCCTTTTCACTTTCTCTCTCACTCTGTCCCTCTCTGTTTAAATTAAAATAAGTAAATAAACAAAGTTAAATCTTTTTTAAAAACATCACTTCCATTTTCCTTTTCAATAGATGCTGTCTTAATAAAGTATTAGATTTTTCATTCCTTTAAAATCATAAAGGTCATGTTTATTTAAAGATTACTGGCAACCCTTAACCTTAATGTGCTGATAGAGTTGCACAGTTCTTCAGTGAGGCCATTCAGTCTGTCTTCATGACTTCTAATGTGGTACCACGTGTATATTTCTAATTCTTGTTTTCTTTCAATTTATTTCTTCCTCCCATGAGATAGAGACAGAGAACAGAGTTTTCATGCCACAATCCACCCCAGCCTCAGTTAGCCAGGTTCACTGGCATGCACACACCCAGCCTGTAAAGGGAGGCCTTAGAACACGAACCTGGGACTTTCTCACATGGCTTCAGCGTCACAGGACATTCTGTTACTGCTGTGCCACCGGTTGGCCCATTTCGAATTCCAAGACGGCTCTTCTGAGTTCTTCCACGTTGGGATTTGTTCCTCATCAAGCTTTCTAAAATACCAGAAAACATACAGAAGAGATACAGCGATCTTAGTTTTTTCTTCACAAACATGACAACTTCATAAACGCTTTTATGACTCAATGCATATATTTAGTATTTTAGTTTATTATTATTATTATTATTAGGACAAATTAACTTTTTAGAATGACAGGTTTTCCCACTTCTCGTAATCAGGCAGCTAGCCTACAACCTAGAAAGGAGGTCACCTGGCTCGAGAGTAGGGTGGCTGCCAAATTATGAGACTCAAACCAAACTAACATTAGATGTATCTTCATGGTGTTTATTTTTAGAAAGAAAACAATATGTTTTAGCTTTTGACCTTCTATGTGTGGTTACTTACAGGTGTAAAATACTAGACAGACATTTGGCGATACTGTCCAAGAAACATCTTGAAACCAAATTTTTGAAGCTGAATGTGGAAAAGGCACCCTTCCTTTGTGAGAGACTGCGGATCAAAGTCATTCCCACCCTCGCACTGGTAAAAGATGGGAAGACACAGGATTACGTGGTTGGATTTACGGACCTCGGAAATACAGACGACTTCACCACAGAGACTTTAGAGTGGAGGCTCGGCTGTTCCGACATTCTTAATTACAGGTAACTTTTAGCAAAAAAAAATATTTTTTAAAATTCCTATCTATAGTTTATTTCTAGAGGATTTTGTGTCTTAACCTTTTATGAAATTAAGACCCTTTGGCTAAGCTGTAGAAAGTTTCTCAAAAGAAAGGCATATTTCTTAAGGTATATGTTACTAACATACAGCAAAATCAAATTAATAGATAAACTGAGTCTTGGAGTATACCCAACCGTAAAAGTTTTCCACTTAGCAGATGCTATTGAAATCAATTCTGTATTGGGGCCAGCAGGTGGCATGGTTTAGGTATTGGAATTCCACACTGTTGACTGTAGTTTGAGGCCCGGACCTGGAAGCTTGCTGTCTCACTTTCCCTCTCTTTCTGCCTTTCTCTGGTCAAATTCTAAAATAATAGTAAGTAAATAATTCTTAAGGAAAAAAAGATTCAATTCTCTATTACTCTGGAAACTGAAAATGACCCTCCAGAGTTGACTATTCCCCAGTTTAAGCCATGTTACTCAGATTAGTACCAACTTAAGTCGATTCTCTTTGATGAAATAAAAATTAAGAACACACTACTACAAAGATTATATTTAAAACATTAGAGTTTTTTAGTGTAGCTATTCCTGTCTCGCTTATAGAACCTGATAAATATAAAAAGGTTTCTGTGCTTAGCTCGCATCACTTCCAGTGGAGAATGGTCTAACTTCCTCTCTCATTTAGCCACTTTCTTCTCTCTCTTTGCCCACCACTTTAATGAGTAACTTATCTAATTCCATAAATTAGAGCATATCTTGTTTTATGCCTGTTCTTGGCTTGCAAAAATTGACAGATAAAATGTGCAGTTTTGGTTCCCGGAGTCAGAGTGCCTTCTCCTTTCTTTTTATTTTTTTCTTTTTTCTAGACAGTGCTTGTGCATGCCAGAGAGACAGAGAGGGAGACAGTGAGAAAGCATACCCCATGGGGATGGTCACACCACAGTCCCTTTCCTCCATCCAGTTCTCTTGCTTGTCAGGATTTGGGGCACTCACGCATATGCACCCACCATGTTTTTCAAACTGCTGGCTCTAGGGCTCGAACCACTCAGTTGGCCACTTAGTGGAATCCAGCTACCTTGACCACACCACTGGCTGGCCCCATGTGTATCTTTCAATAAGTAGAAAGGTCTCTCATCTTTCTTTCCACACTTCCCCTCCACCCTTTCTCTGAGTATTTCCTAGATATGCCTAAATCACTTGTACGTTATAGAAAGTGATTTCATTTCCTTAATATAAAATACTATTTATTAATGTATTGTTAAATCAATCAACTTTAAATACACTGCATACTAGTACAAAGAATTGTCATGTATTATTTTTTACCTATTTCTCCCAATTTTAAATATCTATTTGCTTTAACATTTTTTTTTTTTTGGAGAGTTTTTTTTTGCTATAGGGCACGTGCGCTTGCCGGAAAGACAAGAGACAGAGAGATAGAAAGTGAGAAATCACCCCCTGGGGGGATGGCCACGCCATAGTCCCTTCTCCTCCATTCTCCTCTTGGGATCTTGGGTACACACACACGCGCCCGGCGTGATTCTTAAGCCACCAGGTGCGGGACTCGAACCGTGGTCAACTACCTGGGAGTTCAGTGACATTGCCATTATGCTAACTGCTGGTCCCTTATCATTCTCTTTTTAGATAATGTATACATTATTTCCCAGAACCATTTGAATAGAAGTTATAGACATGATGTCCTTTTACGTTTTTTTAATAATTCCATCTGTATTTCCTAAAAATTAAGGACATTCCCTTGTTCCCTCCCTCCCTCCTGCCAGAGGGCTTATGCTCTTGCCAGAGATAGCTGATAGGAGGTAGTGGGGAGCACCCCCACAATGGGGTATGTCGCTCCAGAATCCCATTTGTCTGTCCTGTTGGGATTTGGGGCACACACACATCCTTGTGTTTTGTTTTTGGGTTTTTTTTGTTTTATGTTTTGTTTTTTTAAGAGTTTTGCTATAGGTGCGTGCACTTGTCAGGGAGACAGAAAGTAAATATCACCCCTCAGGGGAGTGGCCATGCTACAGTCCTTTCTCTTGGGATTTGGGCGTGCATGCACATGCACCCAGCATGACTTTTAAGCTACTGGGTTGGGGACTCAAACTGCAGTTGACTACGTGGGAGTCCAGCAACATGGCCATTACAACGTATGCTGGTCCCTCAGCCCTGTGTTTTTAAAACTGAGATTTGAACTGTAGTCGGTAGTGTGGGATTTGGCTTCCTTCATCAGTAAGCCGCAGGGCCAGCCCAAAGGACATTTTCTTATATTGCCACTGTACAACTATTAAGATGGGAAATAATATAATTTTCAGACCTTATTCAAATGTTACCATTGTCCCAGTAATGTCCTCCTTACCAAAAAATGTGTCATGCTTAGTTATTATGTGTCTCTAGTTTTCTTTAACCCACAACAGATTGTTACCTTCTTTGTTTTTCAAGACTTCTGCATTTTTTAAGAGTACAAGCTAGCTTTTTTGTAGATCATCCCCATTTGAGTTTCTCTAATGTCTCCTCAAGAGTAGACTCAGATTATGCATTTTTTATATGGATATTATAAAAGTGTTGTAGCCTTCCTCCTCAGTGTATCAGAATAGGAGGCATGTGATGGTTTCTCTCATTTGTGGTGATGACTGAGCACTCGGGCCACATAGTGATTTAACAGAATTCTTTCATCTCCTCCATTTACTTTTTCATTTAGTTATATTAGTAGAAGTTATTTTATTCAAGAGACTACAATCTGCTATACCTCAGATTGCTCCAGATTTGGCCAGTGAGAGCCCCTTTCATGTTGAACTCCTTTTTTTTCTTGCCGGAGAGAGACTGGGAGAGAAAAAGGACCTCCCAATGGGGCATGGTCACTCCACAGTACCCTCTTCATCTCCCTATCATTTCAGAATTTGGGGCACTCTTGCACATATCCCAGCATATCTTTCAAGCCACTTGTCCAGGATTCGAACCACACTGCCAACTATGTGGAATCTGGCTCCCTTAACCACCAGGCCATGGTGCCAGCTCTGGACTCTGATGACATTTTGACATATCCCCATACTTCTTTGAGCTCTTCTTTTCTGGTACAAACAAGACATTTTAGGGTACTTGATGTTATACTCTTCATAGGATCAATTATTCCTTCAAGGAGACAGGCTCATTTCAGTGGCAGAAGATATTTCAATACCAAGATCTAGGTGCTAGGAGTATTCCAGATTGTTTTCTTATCCTGACAAAATGCATGCACATGCCCATGAGAGAGAGAGAGAGAGAAGCACACTCTTCACAGTGTTTGGTCATGCCCTAATCCCCTTCTTCCAGTCTTCCAGTTAGATTCCATGTGGCAGATAGATTCAACTCCTGGCCCTATTGGCTTTACACCAAGCATAGGTACATGTGCCCAGGATCCTGACAGAAAGGAGAATTTGAAGAAAAAGGATTGTAACATGACCAGGCCCCATTGGAGGGGTCCTTTGTCTGTCTCCGTCTCTCTCTCTCTCTTGCACACACACTCTCTAGCTTAAAAAAAAAAAAAAAGTAGATGGGACCAGCAGTTGGTGTAATGGCTGTGTTGCTGGACTCCCATGTAGTCAACAATGGTTCAAGTCCTGGACCTAGCAGCTTAAATTCATGCTGGGCATATGTGCATGCATGCCCAAGATCCCAAGAGGAGAATGAAGGAGAAGGGATTGCAGCTTGGTCCTCCCCCCTGGGGGTGATTTCTCACTTTCTGTCTCTGGCGAGTGCATGTGCCATATAACAAAAATCTCTCTCTCTCCAAAAACATAAATAAAAGAATTGAAAGGCAGTAATCAGTAATTTATGATAACAAGGAAAATAAGATTGATCTAAAACACTTAGCTGAACAAAATAAGGTCTAACTATTAACTTTTTTAAGAGGTTTTTGCTATAGGAAATGTGTGCTCACCAGAGAGAGACAGAGACAGACAGAAGGATAGTGAGAAACAACCCCCCCACCCAGGGGGGATGTCCACATCACAATTCCTTCTCTTCCATTCACCTTCTGGGATCTTGGACACATACGCCCAGCGTGATTTTCAAGCCACCAGGTCCAGCCACCACAGTTGGCCGCTTGGGAGTCCAGTGCTAAAACCACTATGCCATCTCTTGGCCCAACACTATTAACTACTAACATGAATGTGATAACGTCTCTGATACTGGCATTTTAAAGAAACTTTACTCTTTGTTATAGAAGAAAAGATAGAGTTGCATGCAGTTTAGTGTATCAGCTGTACTAAATCATAATAAAATCTTTTTCAAATTTGTTTTATTTTTAGTGGAAATTTAATGGAGCCACCATTTCAGAGCCAAAAGAAATTTGGAACAAACTTCACAAAACTGGAAAAGAAAACTATCCGAGGAAAGAAATATGATTCAGACTCTGATGATGATTAGAGCTCAGTTATAGTTCTTTGTAAATTATCTTTTATTTATGCTTACTTCACATTTAATGTATTTTCTAAATTCTGTTGATTTCAATACATCGATCACCTAATACATTCTGGAGTTTTATACAATTGCATCACATTGAAAGGCATCTTTACTATTTTCTCAGTGACCATCATGTTTAAGTTGAAGAAAATCTTCTGAGTTCTGAAATTACATGGAAAGGGTCTGGTATCTCTATTTTTGAGACTGATTTTTTCACACTATGATTCTATGTCTTTATACCATTCATAATTGTGTTTTTAATCTACAGAGTTGGAAATAGAAATTCAACCAACTATCCAGGACTAATTCTTAATCATTTTTCCTTACTTTATATAACAGGTCAAGTAACATCTACCAGTATAACACACTGGACTTGTAAATGAATCATAAACACTCCTCACTTACAGATTATATTTGAATAACTATTAAAGAACTGGTTATTTGGACCAGCTGATGGCATAATGGTTACGTCACTGGACTCCCACGTAGTCAGCTGTGGTTTGAGTGAGTCCTAGACCCGATGACTTAAAATGAGTGCGTGTGCATGTGTGCCCAAGATCTCAAGAGAAGAATGGAGGAGAAGGGACTGTGGTGTGACCATCCCCTCTGGGGGGGGTTGATTTCTTGCTTGGTGTCTCTTCATCACTTTCTATCTCTGGCAAGTGCACATGCCCTATAAAAAATTCTCTCCAAAAAAAAATTATAAAGAGTTTATTATTTAATCGGGATGCCGCATGTTTATATAGAATTACTGATGACAGCAAAGAGCTTTTTTTGGTTGTGAACATACTGCCTTATTCAACGGGTCCTGATTACTTCTTAAAGTATGTCTTAAATATAAGCAGTCATGAGATACTTTTCCAATGGCAGCATAAGGAACTCCACTGACTCTCCTTAGTACAATTATAAGTCCTAAAAATTATTAAAACAGGGACCAGCAGTTAGCGTAATAGCTATGTTGCTGGACTCCCACGTAGTCGACCACGGTTCACATCCCAGACCTGGTGGCTTAAACTCACGCCGGGCATGTGCGTGCGTGCCCAAAATCCCAAGAGGAGAATGGAGAAGAAGGGATTGTGGCGTGGCCACCCCCCCCCCGGGGGGTGATTTCTTGCTTTCTATCTCTCTGTCTCTCTCTGTCTGTCTGGCAAGCGGACACGCCCTATAGCAAAAACCTCTCCAAAAAGAAAAAAAAAAAGGCACTACTTTAGTCTCTGGAAATTATCATAAAAACATATAGTGAACAAAACCATTTATTCTAGAAAATCTAAACATTTCAAGAAAAGTCTCTGGCATTTGAGTCATGACTCCACTCCTCTTCCCTCTAATTTCCAATCTTGGCCTACTGTTTTTCTCCTGGAAGGGTAAACTGCTGGCATTTCTTTCTCACAAGTTCTGTTAAAGAAGCTATGTTCAGAGCAAGAGTAGCCAAGAGATCTGGAGCCCTTTTTTTCTACCCAGTTCCCATTGGCAGCAAGTTTTAACCTGTGAAAGGCAGACCACAAGTACTAGGCTTTGGTTGCTCTTGCCCAAGGTCGGTCATATGGTGGAGGTTCCATACAAGAAGAGGCAAGTGGAGAAGCTGTACAGCTATCTTGCAGACCATGGTATCATTCTTAGACAAGCACGCGCAAGTCTGACGCACCAACAAAGAGGATCTGTCCGGTGGAAATTGCAGGCCATGGAAATAGCTCCATAGCACACTTCCTAAAGGGACTGACTATATTTACAACAAAGTGAGGGAGAAAGTGTTAAGTATGCTGCCAAATACAATGGATGGGCAAGGGGACAGGAGACTGGTAGCTCTGTGATAGCAACAAAGGGAAGACCAACAATGATCAACAGAGGATGTGAGAGGCAAGTGGTAAGAATCTTAGGGTTAGAACAAACTTCAAGGTAACTATACAAGGCCCAGAATTTAATTGGATTAAACTATGCAGCTACTTAGGCCCTAGAACATTGCCAAACAATAGGTTAGCTCACAATTACTAGATGCCACTGGCAGGATGTGTTAATAATGGCAGATCAACTTGAACCTTTCTAGGAGATAAACAGTACTACTTTGAGTGCCCTATCAAAGTTTTCAGGGCTAGCCAGTGGAGTAGTGATTAAGGTGCTAGACTCCACATAGACCTGGCAGCCTGAAACTCAAGCTGGGCGGGTGTTACGCCCAAAATCCTGGGAGGAGAATGGAGTAGAAGGGGATTGTGGTGTGGTTATCCCCCCAGGGGATGATTTCTCACTTTCTGTCTCCAGTGAGCTCACACACCCTATAGCAGATATCTCTTAAAAGCAAACAAAAACAATGTCCTTGGGATTGGAGGGTCGAATCAAGGTGACTGCTTGCCAGGCTGTACTTTCTGAAGAGGGACTTTGAAGGCTACACACTTCAAGGTAAGCAGACTTAATGGAAATAGGCCAGCCAAGTAACTCAAAACAAGCCCTGGGGGGTAGGGAGATCCAGGGATGAGTATCTGAACTACTATGACATACTGGGTCATTGGAAAAGCCATGATGTATTTTTCTATGCAAGAAATAGTTTGCTGATGTTCCAATATTATCTAAAATAACCAACTCTCAACACAAAAGACATACAAAGAAACTGAATGAACCTCCATATATAGGGAGCATGGTTAAAAGAAATAGGACCCAGATGTCAAAAGACAAAAACTAAAAAATGCTATTATAGGGACCAGCAGTTAGCGTAATGGCTATGTAGTTGAACTCCCACGTAGTCGACCACAGTTTGAGTCCTAGACCCAGTGGCTTAAGCTCACGCCAGGCGTGTTTGCGTGCATGCCCAAGATTCCGAGAGGAGAATGGAGGAGAAGGGGATTGCAGTGTGGCCATCACCCTTGGGGGGGGGGGGGGGGTCTTTCTGTCTCGTTTTTGTGTGTCTTTCTGACAAGCACCCGGGCCCTATAGCAAAAAAAAAAAAAAAAAAAAAAAATTATTATAAATATGTTCCTGAAAACTATGCTGCAAGTAAAGGAAGGTATGAAGGCAATATTACATCAAATAGAGAATATATCAATAAAGGATTCCTGTAAAAGAACCAAATGGAAATACTAGACTTCTAAAGTACAGTAACTGCAATGAAAAAATGTATTAGGGGAGCTCAACAATAGATAGGAGTTGCAGTAGGAAGAATCAACAAAGGAAGTAGGAATTGGTAATCTGTTCTTCATGCTGATTTCAGCCCCACATGTACAAGATGATACTATGGAACTCAAAGAGAAAAAAAGTGGAGTACAGAGGCATCGCAAAAATAAATTAAAAATTTCATAAAAAAACAGTGATTCTTGTTCTTCAAAGACATTCCCAAGAAAAGTTGTCAAGGAAGGTGAACCTAAAGTCACATCTAAGAACTTTGAAAACAGTGCTACAGAACCTGGGGAAGAGGGTGTGAAGCAATTCAGAAATCAGTAACAAGGGGACACAGGACCTAAGAAAAATTTCAACAGGCAAATAAATTGAACAAGAAGAAAAAAGTCCAGTTGGACAGTGATGACTCACCAGCCAAGAAACCCAAATAGGATGGCATCAAAAAAGAGGAACAGAAGCAGAGCGGGCAACTTCATGATAAGGCCATCCATGGCATTGTTACTTGGGCAAAGCAGATCTGGAAGATTTTAGGAAAGAAAGATTGATAAGAGTAAAATTGATGAATGACTTCATATCAATTGATTCAAGGAGAAATTTAAACTATTGGATTTGCCCATGATTAAACATGGGTGATTCAGTGTTACATTCAGTATGGTAATGAAGAAATAGAAAACTGGCTTTCAAAGACTTGTGTGGTAATTTGGTCAAATTAAGTAGAGCCAAATACTCCAGAAATAATATGAAATTTCTCATGTATGGAAGTAAACCGAAGATTGCAGAGAGAATCACAAGGTTCAAGGGCCATACGCGGAAGATGCTGTGGTGTGCAGAAGTGTTGGCCGCCATGGAGTTCATGAGTAGTGACGAAGACATATTGGAGCAGAGGAACATGCTGACAGGAGTTGTATAGGAACACGTTTCAGCATTGTAAGTCAGCAGATCGCCCAACTCTGGACAAAGTGTTAGAGACAAATCCTGAAAAATCAGATCTCATCATGGATGAAACGAAGCAAATTCTAACTCCTATGGCCCAAAAGGAAGCTGTGATTAAGCACTCATTGGTGCATAAAGTATCCCTGGATTTTTTCAACCTGTGCATCCCCAAACTCAAATCAGAACGGATTAAAGTCATCCACGAGGTGGTGATATACCTGGTATACACACACAATGGCACCGAGTGACCGTGCACTGCCTGTGGTGAGGTATACCCAAGGATAGGAAAGTAATTGTGAAGACTGTGAAGATTTTGTTGAAAAGGTGGCTAACGGCAGGTACTCCCACTTGATCCTACTGGCAGCCTTCAATTGTATTGACGATAGCAAGTTTGTGAAGCAGATAGTCATATCAGAAATGATCCATTCTTTGTCTAACAGTAAATGATAAACATGGAAGGAAGGCCTTATTCACTAAGCAAGTCCCAGAGACCCTGCATATACAGTAAGAGAAATCATTGAAGTTCTTCAGAAAAGAGATGGAGATTTGTGCAGTAAGAAAGATACAGAGATCCACCCATGTGAGCTAGCTGTTAGAATCCATTTCTGGGGAACCAGCAGTTAGCATAATGGCTATGTCGCTGGAGTCCCACATAGTCGACCACAGTTCACGTCCCAGACCTGGTGGCTTAAAACTCACGCCAGGTGCGTGTGCATGCGTGCCCAAGATCCCGATAGGAGAATGGAGGAGAAGGGATTGCGGCGTGACCATCCCCCCGGGGGGTGATTTCTCACTTTCTGTCTCTATGTCTCTCTGTCTGTCTGGCGAGCGCACGCGCCCTATAGCGAAAACCTCTCCAAAAAAAAAAAAAAGAGTGCAAATTCTATGATCAGTACAAAAAACAAATATTCATTACCAAAAACTGGAAGACATGGTCTGATGATGCATTCATTTATGGACTTAGCCATAAGAAATCTTTCAGTGATCCAAAAGCAAGTCATTCACATTTAATGAATGGTCATATTGAAAAAATATGTATGTACATGCACATACACACGCAAGGAACTGCACTGGAAACCCCATACTGCATTGTCACCATCGTGACTGTGAGAAAAGCCACTTGTTAGAAGGTTTTAGGAATGAGGTGACAGAGCAGAGAGAGTGAGGAGGCTGTGTCTAGCTCCCACTCACAGCCATTGCAGTATATTGAGCTCCACAGAGACAGCGCCAGGGCAAGTGAGAGCCGGACCTGGGCGACTCTGTGCCTCGTGGAGGAAAGTTGGGCAAAGGAGATCCTAAGAAGCTGAGAGGCAAAATGTCGTCATACGCATTCTTTGTGCAAACTTGCCGGGAGGAGTGCAAGAAGCAGCACCCAGATGCTTCAGTCAACTTCTCAGAGTTTTCTAAGAAGGG